AATCTCTCTCTCTCTCTCTCTCTCTCTCTCTCTCTCTCTCTCTCTCTTTCTCTCTGTGTATATATATCGATGTAAATCATAACACAGCGTAAGATGACAGCATGTTTTTGAATGTTTTTCTACTTTGCCAGTTAGTTTTGTTTCGTTGTTCTTTTTAAAAAAAAATTGTTACTTTGTATTGTTACAGAAATTTGAGATATACGATACCTCTTTGTCCCATAGTTTGGTGGTATCATGTTCTATCTGTTTTGTTTTGAAACTCAGGTGCGGAAAACTAGGTATGAGCGGCCAGGATTTTCTTACATGGACTTGATCAAAATGGCTTTGAAGAGCTCGGAGCAAGGTCAGCTGACCGTGAAAGAAATCCTGTCGTGGATCGAGGACAAGTTCCCGTACTTCAAGTACGACGCCAAGCAGAGCTGGAAGGTAAGCCATGTTGATTATATATGTGTCATGCACCTGTCCCCGTGGTTTTATGCACCCCGCATAATTTAGCCAAATTTTATAATTTTTTGCATAATTTCTGGTTATTTTCCTTTATAATTCTTTGTTAAAATTAACAGAATCACATAATTTCACATTTTTGGGCTCAGTTTGCGAAGCACGGCGTCACTTTTCGCCCGATTCTGTTACTTTTAGTTGACGTGACTCAGCAGCCCGCCGGAGCTCCCCGGCTCAGGGTCACGGGGTTAATGAGCCCTGAGGCGACTTTGCCGGTGTCGGTCGGGAAGTTCGCATTTTTGACTGTTTAAAACGATATAACTTCTTCCCCATCCCACACAGCAAACCATTACGCGAATGTACTAAAAGCTCAATGTCTTGAGATTTATTCTGCGTTAGAATGGTTAATTTCTGTGCCTTAGTTTTTGTTCTAGACAAGTGTTTGTAGAGTACCCAATTTGTCCTGTTTTAGTTACAAAGTTATGAATAAATGATTGTTATTTTAAAAAAGGCACGACAGATCTCTCCAAATTCTGTGTTAAACTGACTACGAATATCATGTCTTTTACCATGAGAAATCTTAAATCTGCGGTAGTAGTAATAGTCAAGTTATAAGAGAAGAAAGATGCACATCTGCATATTTTAACTAAAGACGATCAGCGTTAGCTCTTATTTTACTATTAAACAAGAGAAAGTTACTCTGCGTTTGTTCATGAATCATGCTGTGTCTGTGGCAGCCTGCATACAACTAAAAAGATATAATATAAGCGATTTAAAAAACCACAAAACCGTGTAAATACATGGGTAGAGATAAACTTCAAGTATGGAATAAAAATAATGACAGCTAAAACATTCATTCTTAGTTTTTGTGTAGGAAATATGCGCGGACACAATTATGAATGTAAAGAAATCAGTCACATTGTCAGTTATTGCAAATGGTCATAGAAACGTAAAAAAAGCTGGAAAAGTCTGGTGCTGATTCAGTGTCCCTGGAAAGCTAGAAATTATTCTTATAACCCAATTACGAGAAGTCATCCCTATTATTCAGTCAACTTACAAAACCGAGACTTAGCGTTTTAAGAAAAGTAAGCAATTTCTGGAGTGTAACACATACTGTTCGTGTATTAGATCTCCGTTGAAGATATATTCTAGCACTAAAATCGATTTGCACTTTTCATTGAGAAACTTCATGATAACTTTTATAAACTTTCGAGAAAATATGCGAATATTCATGATTATATTAGACACATAAAGTTGTATTTGGAGGAATTACTTGGTAACGAATTGTGTGCCCGATGGATAAAATTGCAAAATTACAGCCTTCTATTATAAGCGCAAATACCATCTTTTCTGAGTATCTGCACTAATGTTATGTCGTTCATATTCCAAAAGTTCGACAGATTTTGGCGATGTGTTTTTTTTATATTGATTTTTTTTCATTCACGCTAGTCCCCAAAAAATTACAATTTAGCATTGCCGACTCCAGCGCGTCTAACGAAATAACCAGACAAGTTACAACGTCCGTTCTTTTTTGAGTCTCAAGAGCAGAAATGCGTGCTTTGGGTGCACTAAATGAGAATTACCATAAATACAAGGATGCACCTTAAATTGTACGTTGAAAAGTACCAAAAATTAAGTCGGCCCAGACAGAGCGGCGACAGGGAGCTGACCCCCGTGACCCCGACGTGATAAGGCGCCTGGCGGGGAACCCCCCGCGGCAACTAAAATTCCACTGCCGGTGCGCCGTGGAAGTAATTTCAGAATTTTTCTTGCATACAACGACGGGGACAGGTACACCTTCACTGAAGGCTGAAGGTTCAGTTGTTGCATTGATGCTAGATACTTCCTGGTTGTTTTGGTGTCGTTTCCTTCTTTCTTTCTTTCTTTCTTTCTGCCTCTTTCTTTCTTTCTCTTCCTTTCTTTCTTTTTTCTTTTCTTTTCTGTTTTTTTTTAGAGAGAGGAGAGGCTAAAGTTTTCGGTCTGACCTATTTTGACTTCAAGTGTTGTATCTTTAACTTTTATTCAGGTAGCACTTTATTTTTCTTGTGGTAGTGGGTGGTTGGCGGGTGCTCTGGTGTGGTTTGCTCCTTCTTTCCTATTAAACAACTGTAGTCTTTATCTCTCCCCCTTCTTTTTTATGTTTGTTACTCTCTTGTAACACGTCTAATCTTCGGCACTCATATATAACCTTACTTACTGACATGTGTTACAAATTACCTTTGCTAAAACTAAAAAGAATATGAAGTAGTACTGTGGAAACCTGATATAACAGGGATGGTGGGACCAGAGAAAAAATCTGGTATATCAGATGCCTGTTTAATCAGAAAAGCAAGGGAAGTAAGCCTTTGTGCACTAATCCAGCTGTATTTATTCAGGGGTAGTTTCCCTTGCACACCGCAGTCCTCTCTTGTGGCCATGTGGCAGGCCTGCGCATGACACATTACACGGCTCTCTCTCTCTCTCTCTCTCACTTTTTACACATTGTAATTGTTAACGAGCCTTTGTCCCTGACATAACTGATTGGGCTCCGATGAGGCCGTTATTGCCGATAACTTTTAATAGAGACAAAGAGTAGGAAAAAAGCGGGGATTTTAAAAATCCCAGTTATTACCGGATCCCTGTTACCCTGTTATTACCGAGCCTGTTATATATGGTTTCCACTGTACAAATATTCAATTATAATTTAGTGCTACTGACTAAAGGTAGACCATTCCCAAAGTGGGGATAAACATGTTCTTACGCACAGTACAATTGTAAATGGTCTGATTTATCAATGTCATGCTCATACTGTGCCGGAACAACATAGGGGGAACTGCTGCTTTTATTTTCCTCATCCTTACTATCGTCATTTCTCCTCTACTTCTTTTGTACATTTTTGTCACTCTCTTGTGAACTGCTATTTCCGGGTAGTTAACGATGAATAACTTCCTTTAGTGATGTTAGTGAACTTGCTCTTTATTAAGATTCAAAGGATGATGGACAATCTGAGGAAGGATGAGAGATGAGTTAGTATGAAAGATGAGAGATGAGTTAATATCTATCTACCAGGGTGCCTTGATGATAGTCGAAGCAGACTTTATCCTGTTGAGACAAGAGAGGTGAGCAGAGTAAGCCCGTTTTCGCGTTTGGACTTCTCTCTTGACATCCACCCCCTCGGCACTCATAAAAAATGACCTTATGCAGTTGCGAGCACCATAAAACCGTACTAAAACAAACATTCTAATCTTCGGCACTCATATGACCTTACTAACTGTGTTACAAATGCTGCAAAACCTTTACGTAAACTAAAAAAAAGATGGAGTGGTACAAGTATTCAATTGAAGCTTAACGACTTGTAACATTGTTCTTCCCCAGAGTTCCGTGCGTCACAATCTGTCCCTTCATCCAGACTTCAAAAAGGTGAATGTGAAAAAGCATGGCGGCAAATGGATGGTGGCGGACGGCGCGAAGCCTTTGTTTCATCAGCAGATCAAGCAAGGTGTGAGGAGGGTCCGGCTGTGTTGTTGGCCTCATTTTTAAAAACTTTAAAAATGAAATTGCGTGGGGTTTTGGTTTAATTTTCTTGTTTTTGTTTTGTTTTGGGAGGGTGGGGGGTGGTTAAATGTAAAATCGTCAGCTTGAAACCAAATAGCCTTGGTCTCAAATTTAAAAAAACGTTTCATTGAGAAAAAGAATCAAAGTGGTAGCAGCTCAAAAAGATCGGGTCTTGTATACTGAATCTCCCAGCTCTAAAAGGGTGCTTTTAAGTGGGGCGAAATAGCACTGACGACCCAGATTAACTCTTTAGTCCCCATCAGACACTGGGAGCGTCCGGCGGTAATAACCCTGTTCCCCATTGGATGACTAGTGACAACTGTTTCGTTTCATTTACTTCATTTTGTTTTTCGGAACTATTCCCGATCCAATTTTCCGCCATTTAGAAGTTGGTGGCAAGTTCAGATTGTGTTTTTAGAAGTTATTATGATATATGGTTCACCAGGTTTAGGTGACTAGAAAAAAACTGTGGGAAAAACTCAGGGTTTAAAAAGTTAAAACACCCTTTTCTTGTGAATCTTATGAAAAAGGCTGTCCGTTGTAAACTTTTAAGTTAAAACGCCTTAAAGTTAGGTGGGGGTTCTTTTTTAGATGAGCCGGTTCCATGAGAGATAATTCCTTTGCTGAAATGCTCAACAAAAGATTTTTCTTTTTCTCCCGTTGCTGTCCAGAGTCGAAGCCTCAGCCTCCCAAGCCAGCACCTCCGGCCCCGTCGAAAAAACCCAAGAGAATCAGTGAGTGAGAGGTTGGAGGTTTGAGGGTGTCCCTTGGTGGTTCCTACCTCTTGTCTTTCCCTCTTTTTTGCTTCTTTCTGTGTTTTGTAGTTGGAGGGTGTTACTGGTAGCTCTTACTTCTTTTCTTTGCGTCTGTATTGTTTCTGTCAGTGTTTTGTGGTTGGAGGGTGTCACTGGTAGCTCTTACTTCTTTTCTTTGCGTCTGTATTGTTTCTGTCAGTGTTTTGTGGTTGGAGGGTGTCACTGGTAGCTCTTACTTCTTTTCTTTGCGTCTGTATTGTTTCTGTCAGTGTTTTGTGGTTGGAGGGTGTCACTGGTAGCTCTTACTTCTTTTCTTTGCGTCTGTATTGTTTCTGTCAGTGTTTTGTGGTTGGAGGGTGTCACTGGTAGCTCTTACTTCTTTTCTTTGCGTCTGTATTGTTTCTGTCAGTGTTTTGTGGTTGGAGGGTGTCACTGATTGCTCCTTCTCATTTTTGCTTCTATATTGTTTCTGTCTGTGTTTTGTAGTTGGAGGGTGTCACTGGTAGCTCTTCTTATCTTTGCTTCTATATTGTTTCTGTCTGTGTGAGTGGTTGGAGGGTGTCACTGGTTGCTCTTACTTCTTATCTTTGCTTCTATATTGTTTCTGTCTGTGTGAGTGGTTAAAGAGTGTCGCTTAACCTCCCCCCCGGGCAGTACTACTGACTGAAGTTGTCTTTAGGCCTTTCCCAGAGGGGGGATATTAACCTGTTCTTATGCACAGTAGAATTGTGAACGGGCTGATTTGTCGATGTCATGCTCATACTGTGCCCGAACAACGTAGGGAGAACTGCTGTTTTTTCTTTCCTCATCCTATCGTCATTTTTCCCCTACTTCTTTTGTATGTTTGTCACTCTCTTGTAAAATGCTCTTTCCAGGGTGCCTTGATAGTCGAAGCAGACCTTTTGCTGTTGAGGCTAGAAAGGTGAGCAGAGTAAGCCTGATTCCCTGTAAGGACTTCTCTGTTGACATCCACCCCTTGGCGCTCATATGACCTTATGCAGTTGCGAGTGCCGTAAAATCTCTACTAAATAAAAATAATAAACTCTTACTAAAAGAAAAGCTATTTGCGGGGTGCCTTTACAGTCGAAGCAGACTTTGTGCTATTGAAGCTAGAGAGGTGAGCAGAGTAAGCCTAATTCCCTGTAAGGACTTCTCTGTTGACATCCACCTCTTGGCGCTCATATGACATTGCGCAGTTGCGTGCGCCGCAAAACCGTACAAAAACTAAACAACTCTGATCTTCCATACTTATATGACCTAATTGTATTGCAAGAGCCATAAAACTCTTGCAAAAACCAAAATGATAAAGATGTTTATTTGCTAATCTGTTGCCATCACCCCCCCTCTCTCTCTCTCCCCACAGCCCCACAGCCGATCCTTCCCAAGGCCATGTCGTACGCTCTGGTGCCCATCCCCCTGGGCCCGTTCCCCGCGGGCAGCACGACGCCTGTCCTACCTCAGGTCCCGCAGCAGACCCTGGTCCCCACGGCAACGGGGCTTCAGTACGAGCTGCCGACCTTGCAGTGGCCCCCACCAGCACCCCCACCGCCCCCGCCCCCGCTACAACCCTCCCCCGTGTCGGTCACCCTCGGTCAGCCGGTGCCGAGCGCACAGAACAACGGCCTTCCTCCTCCTCCGCAGTTGCAAAAGATGATGGCCCCAGCGGTAGAAGCTGTCGACTTCCCGCCGGTTCCCTCCGTCCATCAGGGATCAAATGTTGGAAGTGACGGCAGAGAGGTCGTTATTTTGCCCCGGACTGCGGCGAGTCTCGGTCAGAAGAAGTCGGAATCTTTCTCCTCAGTGAAGACTCTCTTGCAGCGTGGCCAGGCGCGGCGTGTTGTCCCCAAAAATCCCCGGAAAAGTTCTGGATCATCGAGCGAGAAGATTGTGATTATTCTGGAGAAGGCTGCGTCGTCCGACACCACTGATCGCTACCGGAAACTGACGACGAGCCGAGACAAATCCTCGGCGAAGCAGCTGGTTTTCGCCAAGAGAACAGAACAAATTGCGCCGTCGTCGTCATCATCGGTGCTCTCTGAGAGCTGCGGGGATTTCACCAGGAAGTTGGCCGCGGCGTCTCTCGGCACGGAGGGCGTCGGGAAAAACTTGCCATACATTCTCGGCAAAAAGGGGAAGGGACGTATCATTATGAGGACGAGGACGGGGAGACATCCCCCAGTTATGAATCTAACGTCTCTCATGACGAGCAGCGGTGGTGAAGATGCCGCTACTGCTGCTGCCTCTTCTGCTTCTACTGCTGCTGCCACCACCATCACCTTCCCCTCCTCAGCGAAACCGCTCGTGAAACGACCGGCGTTGGAAGAAAAGCGAAAGCGAGGAATCCATTGTTTGGTGGAGAGGAGGAGGAGGAGCAGTGGTCCTGTCCCCTCGGGATCCGCAACGGGCGGCGGACAGCAGCAGACGCGTGAGGCGAGGCCTGCTCCACTGGGTGGGAGTCTGATCCAGCAGGCTTGGGAACAGGCGCGGTGGAGCAGCGACGCCACTGACAGTCCCGAGCCGGGCGGCCAGTCGTCACGGCAACCGCTGGACCGGGTGGGTGGGCTGGGGCAGACGTCGGGTTATGTCGACGGTGCTGGTGGTGGTGGTGGGAATTCTTTCCTTCCGGAGGATGAGGTAGATGGCAAATCTTTCTTCCAGGAGAATGAGACAGGTGGCAAATCTTTCTTTCAGGAGAATGAGACAGGTGGCAAATCATTCTTTCAGGACAATGAGACAGGTGGCAAATCTTTCTTTCAGGAAAATGAGACAGGCGGCAAATCTTTCTTTCTGGAGAATGAGACAAGTGGCAAATCGTTCTTTCAGGAGAATGAGACAGGTGGCAAATCTTTCTTTCAGGACAAGTCAGAGACGGGTGAGAAATCTTTGATTTGGGATAGGTGTCAGGCAGGTGATGGAAGTGGTGCGCGTGGTGGTGGCAGTAGAACTGTGTCTGGAGGTGAGAGGCCTCTGTGCTCTCGCTGTAGCTGTCAGGTGTCCCCACAAGGGGAAGGGGCCGAGTGTGTCCGTGGGGCGCAGAGTGACAACGCTTCTCCCATGCAGGTTCCACATGGAGAGACTACGGTTTCCTTGGAGTATTGTGGTCATATCCGGACGAAAGACCAGAAAAGTCTGACGAAATCACCGCCGTTATCGCCTCTAAGGTCACCGTTATCACCTCAAAGGTCACCGGTGTCATCATCATCATCTTCTTCTTCAAGGCCGCCTGTCTCGTCGCTGGTGTCAACCTCACCACTATCGTCGACGCTGACGACCTTCTCTGTTCACGGCTCGAGGTCGTCCTGCGGTGCCACGTCTGAGGAGCAGCGAGCTCCGTGCAGCACTCACCACAGCAAGTCTCGCAGGAAGCAGGTACACGTACCGCTCACCACGGAAATCTCCCCCGGTCGAAAAATACTCCTCCCCGGCAGCTTTGAGTCTAACCGCGGGGAGGAGGAGGAGGAAATGTGTGTGGAAATAGAGCCGGTGGGCGTAGTTGTTGTCGCGGGAGAGAAAAGTTCCGTCTTGACCGTTGGCGGTTCGACGACTAGTAGTGTAGCTGAGAGTCATGAGCACTTTTTGACGCACTCGCAGGCTGGAGAAGAAAATGACAGCGAGAACAAGAAGTCTGTCTCTCCGAACGAGAGCGACGACATGGCGTCTGACCATTCGGAGGACCACGTTGTGCTCGGTTTCGAAACGTCCATTCCGGGCTATTCTCCTTCGCCGGGGATGGAATATAGCGACGTCTCGAGGACTAGCTCCCAGATTCTGAGCACTCCGGAGGCAGGCTCGGCGAGGTACTCGCACAGCAGAGTTGTCTCCTACCCCTCGACGAGTGAGATGTGGCCGCTGTCGTCTGGACTCGTCGCCACAAACTCTAGCTCGACAAGCCACCACCCCCACCTCCCTGACTCAGCAGCTCGGCCCTCCTCAGAGATATGTCTGACCCTCTCTCAAAGTCTTTCCCCGCCCGTCGTCGTTGACGACTCCCACATCTCGTCCCGCGGGCACTCCAGTCCCGTCAGTTCTTCCGATTCGTTCAAGTTTCTATCGTCCCACCACCACCACTCCCCGCCCCTCTCTCAGCTGTCCCCCATAGCGGGCAGCACGGGCTGCACTGAGTCCCACTCTTCCTTCCCGTCCCCCAGACTCAGCTGCTGCGAGAGCTCCAAGCCGCAGCAACAGTGCAGCCCGCCACCGCAATCTTGTTCCTCCCGTCGTCATAGTCACGCTCCTCCGAGTTTTTTGCACCCCCCCGTGCCCCTGCCCCTGCCTCTATCTCATCACGTCTCTTCGTCTTCGCCGACTTCTTCCTCCTCTTCACCTCCTCGTTCGTCACTCTTACCATCTACAGCGTCTTCATCGTCTTCATCATTGTCATCGTCATTCCTAATGCCTAGCGGTCCTTATTTCTGCATGCCCTCGTCAGCGTCAGGTCCCCTACTTTCGAGCAGCGCCTCCCAGTTTGGCTACCTCTTAGAGCAAGACGACCACCCCGGGCTTCATCAGCACACCACCGAGTATCTGATGAGCTCCCACAGGGATCCAGGTGATCCCCTGCCCCACCTCCCCCCCTGCTCAGAGAGGTCGGTGGGGTGCGCTCCGGGGGGTGCCGGTTCTTCTTCATCAAACGTTGTCGTGCGAGACGGGAGGGGTTTGAACCCCCACCCCCACCCCGCCAGCCCTGGGTCCCAGCTGGTGCAGGTTCCTCCGGAGATGCTGGAGTTTCACCCAAACTCCTCCGGCATTCTCGACTCGAGTCTTTTCGACAACATTGACAGGCTCATGCAGAACTCTTTTGAAGCAGAGAGCCCCTGAGCTCAGAACTAACTGTCTTGTGGTGTGGTATTTTCCTGGGACTGTCTGTTTTTTCCTTGAGCTGTCTCTATGTTCGTCAAAAGTCTGGAGCTGGCTCTATTCTCCCTCAGGTGTCTTGTTTTTTTCCTTGAACTCTGTGTCTTTACACTTAACTGTCTTGTCTTCCCTCTCTATGAACTGTCTGTTTCCTCCTTCCTTGAGCTGTCTATGTTCTTCAAAAGTCTGGGTTTTCCTGGAACTAGCTTTTATTCTCCTTCAACTGTCTTGTTCTTTTCTTGATGTGTTGTGTCCTTAAACTTAAACTTAAACTGTCTGTCTTCCCTCTCTTTGAACTGTCTGTTTTCTCTTCCCTTGAGCTGTCTATGTTCTTCAAAAGTCTGGGTTTTGAGGAACTGTCTGCATTCTCCCTCAACTGTCTTGGTTTTCTTCTTGAACTCTTTGGTTTTTGAACCGTATGTCCTTCAACTGTCTGTTTTCTCCCTGAAGAGTCTGTTTTCTTCTTTAAATGTCTGTGTTCTTGAATTGTCTATTTTCTCTCCGAACTCTCTGTCTTCTCTGTCTTCTCCCTCCCAGATACAACTGTTTTCCACTCAGGTGATGATTTAGTACTGATTGTTTTGTATGTAATGTTGAAGAAAAGTGACTTTGTCCTTTGACCAAATTCCACAGCAATATTGTTACTTTTGCCATTGTATAGTACAGACTTGATATTTTGTCTATAAAGTTATGAATAGTTGGCATCCAACTTTGTGCACACATGTCAACTTTCCCAATTTTATTGGGAAATTTTTTTGTTTCTGATAGCCTTTCCCGAGGTTCCGATAACGTCCTCATTTTCCCGATTTATTGAGGTACATAGGAAAAATTTATTTTCGTTCCCAAATTTGCAGTCGTCTGCCATGAACGAATAAAGACGAAAAAAATGCGTGTTTTCCAAATGTAGCGCTGGTTTGAAGATAGTGGCGTTTTTATTTTGTGGGGGTTCTAGGTGTGGCGTCTGCTTCTTTGTCTTTTTTTTGTTCATGCATTGTAGTGCTGGTGAACTGTTTACTTTTTTTTTGGCAGTAAACAACCAAATTAGCTGGTGTGGTCTGCTTCTTCTTTCCAATCAAACATCTATCTATCATCCTTATCTCCCCTTCTTCTTTTTTATGTTTGTTACTCTCTTGTAAGACCTCTAATCTTCTGGCGCTCATATGACCTTATGCAGTTGCGAGCGCCGTAAAACCTCTACTAAAACAAACAACCAAATTATACACATATATAGCTTGAAACTTTAGCCTGTTCAAATGTTTAGCACTACTGGCAGGGGATTTTGCAACATTAATCTATATGTGAACAAGTTTTAGATTAGGACGTTTAACTCGCCAACATGATCTATCTCTGCTCAAATTTTCCCAGTCTATTTGTCTTTGAAAAATGACAATTTTCCCAGATTTCAGTCATGGAAAAGTGGGTGGTTGGCGGGTGCTCTGGTGTGGTTTGCTCCTTCCTTCCTATCAAACGTCTATTGTCCTGATCTCGCCTCCTTCTTTTTGTGTTTGTTACTCTCTGGTAATACCTCTAATCTTCAGCACATATATGACCTTATTGTGTTGCAAGTGCCATAAAACTCTTACTACAACTAAAAAATGAAAAAAAAAGCTGGGATATAATAATCATAATGAATAATGGACCAGTGCTCACAGGTTTAAGTTTGTGGTTTGAATCATGTGTCTTTGATTTCCCTTAGCCATTTCTGAAAAATTCACCGGCTCCCCACTGTCAAAATGATTTGTTTCTGTTGTATGTTCATTATGTTTTGTGGTAAACATTTATTTGGGGGAATTCTCCATCCATCCTTGTAGAGTGCTAGTATGCTTGTGTGAGTTACTGCCCTTGACTCTCTTCTACTTCCTCTCGACTCTAGTCACTTGCCGTTCTCACTTCAGTGACTTACTGGGTGGTTGGTGGGTGCTGTCGTCGTGTGGTGTGGTTTGCTCTTTCTTTCCTGTCAAGCATCTATCGTTATTATCTTTCCTCCCTTTTTGTGTTTGTTACTCTCTTGTAACACCTCTAATCTTCGGTACTTATATGGCCTTAGTGTGTTGCAAGTGCCGTAAAACTCTTACTAAAACTAGGAGGGCACTCTTGTGTGGTATGCTCCTTCTTTCCTGTCAGACACCTATCGTTATTATCTTTCCTCCTTTTTTTTTCAATGTCACTCTCTAGTAGTAACGCCTCTTCCTCTTATCTCCGTCACTTCAATGACCTAATTATGTTGCAAGTGCTGCATAACGCTTAATAAACCTTCCAACTAAACTCAGTCACTTGTTAGGGTTTTTAATTTCAACCCAAAATTCTAAATGGCCTCTGGTTTTTCTTTGTTAATAAATCATTTTCCTTTCTTCTGCTCTGTTTTTTTTTTTCATATTTCTTTTCCTTTTCCTTTTTTTGGGGGGTTTATCTTTCATCTCTTCACCTAAGACTGTGTACCTAAAGCATATTTTAAAGCAAGTAAGTGTAAGAAAATATTTAGCTCCCTCAGTGGTGACTTTTCCACTTTTTAAAGATTTCTTCAAGTGTAAAGCGTTTCAGGTGGGTTTTTTTTTTTCATTTAACGTTTTTTTTCTAATCCAAATTTGGTCAGAAATGTTTTGTGGCCACGGTGAACATCGTCATTACTTTTTTCATCCTTCTGTAAATGTAGTCCGATATTTTTTCAACTTTCTGTAAATGCTGTCCGATATTTGTTCATACTTCTGTAAACGTAGTCTGATATTTTTTCATCCTTCTGTAAACATAGTCTAATATTTTTTCTTCCTTCTGTAAACATAGTCCGATATTTTTTCATCCTTTTCTAAACGTAGCCCGATATTTTTTCATCCCTCTATAAACGTAGTCTGATTTTTTTTCTTGAGTTGACATTTTCATTGTTAGTAGTCAGGGGAAGGTTTTGCTGAGTTTGTTGTGGTTTTTAATTTTTTTCGTTCCTTTTGTGAAATGTTCGCAGGCGAGTTCATTGTTCATATCTAAATTTTGAGTAAGTCACTCTTGTGTAGTTTGCCTCTTCTTTTCTATAAAAAACAGCAATCCTCCTTTTCTCTCCTACTTCTTTTTTTTGTGTCTGTTACTCTCTTGCAACTTCTTTAATCTTCGGCACTTATATATGACCTAATTGTGTTGCAAGTGCCGTAAAGCGTTTACTAAAACATACAAGTAAGTCACAATTTGGTTCCGTTTTTTGTCTCTTTTCCGAATCATTCTTTCATATATAATTATATTTACTGTTGTTAGCATTCCATTACATTCTGACGTCTGTGGTGTAGTGGTTAGGAGCTTTGCCATCGCACGTAGGAGATCCAAGTTTGATTCCCAAGCGGGGAGAAAGTTTTTATCGAGTATTTCAGTCTTTTCTGCTGGGATGTAGATCTATATTCTTCCCAGCCCGGGTTGGCGGAAGCCTGCCTCCTAACCAAAATTAACTTAAATTGCGTAGATGTTGGCATAAAAACACCTGCATTAGGTTATGCCCAAAGGGGGGGACATTTCTTGTTCATGCACAGTAGAAATTGTAAATGGGCTGATTCATCAATGTCACGCTCATAACTGTGCCTGATCTACAACAGGGATCTGTTCATTTTTCTTTCCTAATCCTTACTATCGTCATTTTCCCTCTACTTCTTTTGTATGTTTGTCACACTCTTGTGACCCGCTATTTCTGGGGTGCCTTGATAGTCGAAGCAGACTTTGTGCTGTTGAAGCTAGAGAGGTGAGCAGAGTAAGTCTGATTCCCTGTAAGGACTTTTCTGTTGACATCCACCCCTTGGCGCTCGTATGACCTTATGCAGTTGCGAGCGCAGTAAAACCTCTACTAAAACTAAAACATACTGTACTTCATTGCAGTTTTCTCTGTTCAAGTACTGAATGTTTTGTGGCCTCTTTGTTTTCTTTTTTCTTTAAAAAAAAATAGAACTTTGGTGTTCCCAATACTGTATTGTTGGTTGCTATGTGGTTCGATGTGTTATGTTACCATATTAAGTAATCTCTTCGTTATGGCAGGTGTGTAATATATGATCTTGTTGACCTCTTCGTTATGACAGGTAAATATGACATGTGGTCATTTGTGTATAATGTGGCCATATTAAGCTCTACGTTATGATGGATGTATATGATAATATTAATAATATGTGGCCATATATTAAGCTCTTCGTTATGACAATTGTGTATAATGTGGTCATGTTTACCTCTGCGCTGTGTCGTGGACCAAGGTTATAGATATCTGGTTTGTCCATGGAAGCTGATCCGTCGTTTTATTTTCTGTTAAATCCAGTTCCTGTAACATTTGGAGAAAGTTCATCATGCAATACATTACTGATGTTAGTCTTGTCAAGTGAAATTGCACGCTGTGAGACCTAATTATCTCGTTTGAAGAATGGGTCATTTTTTGTGACCACCAATGATGAGTGTGAGAGACTTATCTGCAACGTGGGTTGTTGGCGGGTGCTCTGGTGTGGTTTGCTTCTTCTTTCCTATCAAACATCTATCGTCCTTATCTCCCCTCCTTTTTTATGTTTGTTACTCTCTTGTAACAGGTCTAATTTTCGGCACTTATATGACCTTATGCAGTTGCGAGCGCCGTAAAACCTCTACTAAAACTTCTTGTCAAGTGAAATAGCACGCTGTGTGACATAATTATCTCATTTGAAGAATAGGTCATTTTTTGTGACCATCAATGATGAGTGTGGGAGTGGGGGAGACCTGACTGCAACAGTTATACCCATGGAGAAGTCGTAGGTACTTTTTTGAATAAAAACTGGCACCTTATACTTACGTGTTTGTGTTTTTATTAATTAAAACAAAATATTTTTAATTGTTGAAGTTGCAGGCTGTTGGCGGGTCCTCTGGTGTGGTTTGATCCTTCTTTCCTATCAAACATCTATCGTCCTTATCTCCCTTCCTTCTTTTTTGTTTGTTACTCTCTTGTAACACCTCTAATCTTCTGGCGCTCATATGGCCTT